GAAAAGTAGTATTAGAAAAAGTGTTACAACTATATTAAAAATTACTATATTTTATAGGAAAGCTAAGACATACTCACCTTATGGTAAAAATTACTATGCTACGTAATAAAACCAGATAATATGAAAATTTGCTATTCAACATAGTAATTTTTACTTTGTTCAGAAATAGTTTTCATAATAATGTAAGACAAGAAACACATATGCACCCGCACACACACACACGCGCACGCGTGTGTGTGTGTGTGCAGACTATAAATAACGATGTGTATGTACTTCAGAATATAGATAACCATGTGTTTTAAAAATAATTTCATTTAAAAAGAGATCTACAGTAACCAGGACTTAAACCTCTGTCGCTTGGCTTTTGAATTGAGCTCCGTAACCACTAGACTATGTTACAGTATGTCTGCTTAATGGTGGGATAGAACTAGGTTGTCGATTAGAAAAATTTCTTCTAACGCGAAAAGAATCTGGGTGGTAGTTAAGCTGTTTCAGAACAAATCTAAATAGTTTTAGACTTTAAATTGTGTCAGCTAACGGCCCAAAAAAATGGTAACAGTAGCCAAAATTGGTTTTTCGCATCTCGAAAAAAACTGGAGAGTCGGAAAAATAAGTTATCTTGATAAAAATATGCGCAATTTTAAAACGAAGAAAACAAGCTTTGGTGGGATGAAATCGGTCTAGCCGTTTTTTTGCAATATGCAAAAAAATGCAACTTTAGACCATTTTTTGAAAAAACCTATAATTCGCGTACCTTTAAATATTAAGACTTGGAAATAAAATTCAAGGTAGATCTTGTGTCCCTTAACATCCACACAAAATTTAAGGAGAATCGGTTGTAAGCTTTTTGCAGACCGCTGTAAGAAGTCAAAAATGGTCCCTCCGCAAAAAAGTTGGACGTGGCTGGTTTTTCAACATATTGCCATTTTTCAAACAGCATTGTATTTGTCGACAGTTACTCTACCGTCCAATTGTTACTTCTTCTACCAAAACGTCATTCCATTTGACATTTTGGAAGTATGCAAAAAATTGATGTCAAAAACCGGCTATTTTCCACATGAAATACCACATAATTCATAAAGTTACCAAGTCGTATACAATTTTCAAGGTTTTTGGGGTCACTGATTACGAAATTTATATCAAAAATACAAAAATCTACCCCCTTCATCTCTTAATGATATTTTTCTAGATTAGGAGAACCTTCTGTGGTTTTCTTCAACAGTTTTGCAGGAGTGTTATTTCCATCAGAACGTAAGGCCATTGATACTGCAGTTGTTAACGCATTGACACTATTTGAACTACGAAGAGATTCTGTTTTTCTTTTTTTTTACGATCAGAACTTTCACCAAATGACTGAGTTTCTTCCTCTTTTTGCGTTTTCTTCTTTTTCTATGATTTAATTATGATAATAATAAATGCGCATTGTATTGAAAGACTAAATTGAACTCACGTAGGTGGCTGTTAAATGTAAAATCTATTTCGGTATTTAACCAGTCTTGCTCTTTTACAAAAAATCGATGATTATTACGTTGTAATGCATTCCATTTTTCACTGTATCTGTTGTAAAATCTTGAGTTTAGTTTATCTTGAAGAGTTTTCCTTGTAGAACAATCGTTAGAAACATTAAATTCATCTATTAAATTCTGGATAATTCCAACTTTCTTTTCGGCAATTGATTTTTCAGTGGTCTTCATGTAAGCATAATGGAGTTCAGACCGTTTTATTTTATTCATCATTAAATTGTATACATACGCGCGGAAAATTTACAATGGACAAGACAATATTACTTTACTTATAACAATATTAGTATAGTAGATTATTGATAGATTTCTTTCTTTGCAGTATGCAACTGCATTTTACCTTTGCTAGTTCTTATCTAATCGAACAGAGCAAAATTCTAAGTTTCACGATTATACCTAGTAACGTGGTGTCAGTTTAAGTACGTGGTTGTTTAAAAAAAGGCAATTACTTTATCAAAAATTGAAAAGTGTTACTTATATTTGAAAAAACTTATGTTTCTGACTTATTTATCTATTTGAAGTAGAAATGTTCTCTTGATACTTTTCTGTAACATGCTTCTATCAAAAGATATTAAAAATTACAGTTGATGAAAAATGCCCAGTTTGGGGACTTCAAAAGTTAATAACTTTTTGTTGAAGCTTTTCGAAAAAATTACAAGAGACTTTTTCTTCTTAAAATATGCCAGATTCTTATAAAAAAAAAGTTTGAAACCAAAATTTCGATTTTTTTGAATATTTTTATGATTGTTTAACCAATAGCGCTTTAGAAAAATTGTACCACTCTTAACAAATTGTAAATAGTCAATTCAGATTCTGCGTAAAAAAATACACTAAAATAAACTCTAAACAAACCATTATTTCTCCGGTGCAGACTGGTTGTACACCAGAAAAGACCTAACCCTCAGACTATTGCGCTTACTTAAGATATGATTTTTTATCTTATTTAAAGAGGGGCTAGTATGGGCAAGATTTTTTAATGAATTTACAATCTAGGTATGTTAAGGTATATGAAATCGCTAGAGAGCCCATGAAAGCTCGAGAAAAACCTTTTCGATTTTCTACGTTTTCTTTAAATGTTTGCATAAATATACCATTTTTTAAAAATAAAATTAAATACTTAGAGATTTATTTACTTTCATAAGTCAATAAGAAAATTGACTCTTAATAACATATACAATAATATGAAAAAAAAAAAAAAATAATAAAAAATGAATGTTAGCTAAATCGAACCAAAAAATTGTACAATCAATTTAAGAAATAAAAATCACACAATAAATCAAAAAAATTCGGAAGAAACGAAATTCACCTACTTGGAAGCTGCGTATATTTAGGACCAAATTTTTTTGGGTTATGAATTCTACTGATTTATATGCTCTTGAGTATCAAAAGTAAACATCACAAAAAATGGTAAATTTGAAACTTGAAAAATTAAATTTTGGGCAGATTTTTGGCAATTTGCCCCACTGTGCGCCGTCACATCCACGGAAAATAGCTGGTTTTTGACATCAATTTTTTGCGTACTTGTCAAACAGAACGAAATTTTGGTAGGTTGTAGAGTAACTCTCGACGAGTACAATACCGTTTGAAAAATGGAAATATGGTAAAAAACCAGCCACGTCCAACGTTTTTAGCGGAGGGACCATTGTTTGCTTCTTGCAGCAGTTTGCAAAAAGTTTACAACCAATCTTCCTAAAACTTGGTGTGGATGTTAAGGAACATTAGATCTACCTTGTATTTAATTTTCAAGTCTTAATATTACAAGGAACGCAAGTTACAGATTTTTCAAAAAACGGTCCTAAGTGGTACTTTTTTGCAAATTGCGAAAAAACGGCTAGACTAATTTTATTCTACTGGAGCTCATTTTCTTCATCTTGAAATTGCGCTTTTTACTCACTGGTGTAACTTTTTTGTCCAACTTTCCAGTTTTTTTCTAGACGCGAAAAACCATTTTTGGCCACTGTTACTTTTTTTTTGGGCTGTTAGCTGACACAATTTAGAATCTAAAACTAATAAGATTTGTTTTGAAACAGCTTAACTACCACCCAGATTTTTTTTGTGTCAGACGCAATTTTTAAAAAATGATCATGCTTTTTTGCTAATTCTATCCGACTATAAGTATCGATAAAGTACAAGTGGGAACGTGTACAGTTTACGATACACATAATAAAGTTAAAAATCAAAGGGTTTCCTGTAAACCACAGTGTTAACTGTTAACCACAGATGATTAGTCGATTCAAAATTGATTATTTGTAGGTATCAATTTTTAACTCTTATGAATCAAAAATATGTTTCTCATAATATTTACAGTAGTATAACCTTAATTTTGAAACTAAATAGGCTTGTATACCTATAGACATCGTACAAAATTACTTTCAAACATAGTAATTTTCACTTTACTGAATAGCAATGCTGTGGAACGAGAAATGTTACTATGTTACGTAGTAAATTCTACTTCTGAATATAGGACATTTTAAAACGATTACAATAAAATTTACTACTTACATTGTATAGCAAAAATTATACCATCATAATCGTTACTATGTTAGATATAGTAATTTTTATTACATCGTGTAATAATTTTTGTAGGGATGCTACATAATAGTAATCATCTAAAATGCAATAAAAATTATTTTAAACGTAACAATTTGCGTCATCAGGTAAATATGTCTTAGCTTTTCTGGAAAATATAGTAATGTTTAGTACAGTTATAATACTTTTTTAACACTACTTTTTTCAGTGCATGCTAATGACGCGAGCACAAAATTTACTGCAGATGTATTTCATAACAAACCAGAATAATTCTAGAATATTGTAACAACAATATTTCATAGCTATATCACTTTAAAAACTTGTGATAAGTATTTTTTTAGTTTTTCATTGTAAGTAGGGAATACTATTCTCACATTGCCAATAAACGCCATTAAAGCACTAGTCCTCATGCGCATAGTGAATACTCATAATGATATGCAGTGTCTACAAAATTCTAAAACAGTTCGTTGTCCAAGGAATTTTTCAAATATATTTCTAATACAGAAAGAAATTGGCCATTCTCATCAGAGTTTCCCCAGAAATATGGAAAAATATACTAAATTAAAAATAGGCTATATTTATTCATTTAACAATTCATGTAAAGATACCAATTTTTATGACAATTTAGTGTTTTGCGTATGTCTTCACTTCTAATGCTCCTAGACAAATTTTATGATTGACAAACGTTTTGAGAGCTGTGAGATTTCTCTTGGAGTATTAGAAGTAGAGACCAAAGCAAAAAGCCAAATAAATAAATTAACATGTATGCATAAATTCTCAAATAAATAAAAATAGATGATTTATAGTTTGATCAAAACCATTTTCCTATATTCCTGGGGAAATTATGTAGAAGAATAATCAATTTCACCATTTAGTGAAAATTATGCTGTACAATTGTAAATTATAGTTTCAAAGTACTCATTAGACTAAAAAGCGTAAAACATAACTTACGTGCAAGTAGTGATCTTCAATCTGGGAAACAGGCTGAGAGTAGACGCTTGAGTGCTCGATCGACCGATAAGGAAGTTCTTTGATAATGAAAGCACCAGAACGCACTGGACCAGCACGATGAATGGTCTGCAGGTAATGAGCACGCATTTTTTCGTCCTCAGGAACCTGAGTGTAACTCACGAAATTGCCGATGTCATCGTGGGCGTCATTCTCCTCGCTAGAGCTGCCACCAGACGTATCACAGTCCGATGAGACCTCGGCCTCCTCCTCGATGAACTTCTTGACCAGTTGTCGGCATCTACCCCTCCCACGTTTCTTTTCCCAATTATTGGCTTCCTTTTTAAATTTTTGGACGAATAGGCTACTTTCGCTACAATGCCTGCGAAAAAACGGGCTCACCGAGCTCGCAGGGATGTTTTTCTTGCAACTCCCTGTCCCAGTGCCTGGGCAAAACTTTTTTTTCTCAGGCAAAATAGATGCTCTGCTAGCTAGCTGGCTTGGCAGGGTGAAACCATCCCTATCCCTGGTAACCACTCCATTCAGTCTGTTTCTTCGCATACTCAGATGAGCAGACTTGTCGAACTCAGCTCGATAATTCTTTTGAACATCGATCAGCCTGCTGGTAGAGCCTTCTGTCGGAGTATTTATATTATTCTCTAAAACTTCACTTCCCACAGAGTTCAGATTCTTTAAACTAAGCATCTTGTTTTCTGACTTGCAGCCACCAGTTGAGATCCAGTCTGTTGAGTTTGTCTGGAGCTTCACGTTGGAGCTCTGAGCACCATGCTTGCCACTGCCATAACTGGCTGTGAAGTAACTGCTTAACTTCTCTTGTTGTTCCTTCGGAACAGCAATGACAATGATGGAGTCCTGCTCAAAATCATCATTCTCATCAAAATTCAAGTCAGACGCAAGCTCGCTTTCGTTAGTCACACCCTGTTTGGACCCGTCAATAGCAGACTGGCGCTCATTTTTCTCATCACCAACGTCTTTTTTTTGCTGGTCGTTGCAGTTGTTGCTCAACATCTGGGGCACGACTGGTAGCTCCTCTCCTTGGACGCATCCACCTTGTCCAACAGTCATTGGTGGCGTTGGATTAGGGCTAAACTGTGTCTCAAAGTCGTCCATGTCATCAAAAAAATCTTCCTCGGAGTCCAGATAAAACATGGTGGCAGGGGTCTCCTTGGAAGAAGGTGGTTGTAGAAGGGCCGATGATGGAACAGCTTTTTTAGTCTTGGGTTTGGGTTTCGGCGGCGTGCCGAAGACGGCTTCGTCGTCAGAAGAGTCAGCGTTAAGGTGAGACAGTAAACGCTGCCGCTTTATAATGACGGGCAAATCGTAGCTGGGACTTCGACTGGCATTGCGTTTTCCTACGCCTTTTTGGACATTAGTTGTAATGGGGCTGAGATCTTCAAACAGGTCTACATCGTCTTCATCACTGGTTGCCTCAAGCAGTTCCTCGAATATGTTGCGTGTGATGCGTGCGGGATTGATGCAGTTATTTTTAGTACTGCTATTGCTGCTACTGTAACCAGCAGCGTCTGGTGACGTTTCGTCTAAGATGGCATCGAAGTCGACCTCAACTTGCGCACAGTCAGCTTCAGAAGGTTGCACCAGCTTTAAGGCTGCTGTTGCATTTTCTGCCAAATCTTTCCACTGGCTACGGATGTTGTTATTATTGCTGCTGTTGTCAGTGTACTTGGATTCGATGATTTGGACATCACCATAATCCTTAAAGTCGTCAATGGACCCAAAACTCGAGCAGATCTGTTGGGCATTGTCAACGTCGTAATGCGGGGGAAACCCAGTATCTAGCAAGGAGTCCTCCAACTCGCCAGGCAAGCGAACGGGCTTGCACAGTACCAGCTGGCTGATGGACTCGAGGTTATTATTGGGAGGTAACCAAATCCCACCAAAGAAGTTCACCAGATCTGTCTGTTGACCGTCATTACAGCTGCTGATCTTCTCGGGGAAGGGCAACCAGACAAGCCAAGAGGACGGGCTACGGCTAAAAGGCTCTGAATCTTCTGAACGCTTCATCGTGCACAGTATGAGAAACTCGAGGACGAGGTTGTCACAGCTCAGGAGGGGCACATCGGCTGGGAGAAGGTTCACATACACGTTTTCTAGGGTGTGCGATCCTTTTCGGTGTTCTTGGGAGAGAATGCCAGAGTCGTTGTCGTTACCGGGGCCAGAGGTACCCATGTCGTTGCTGCTAGTGCAAGCTGTTACTACTGCTGTTTCTGTTGCTGCTGCTAACGAGTTTGACGGCTGTAGGAACCTCATCAGTGACGTCTGCAAGCATTAGGATTACGAAAAAAAAAGTCATGTAAAGGCTTTTTTTAATTTTTTACTGAATACTGTACACTATCAGAATTACATTGGCTACAGCTATTTCATCTTATCAAATAAAGAATTACTTAATATAATTTTTTCGGTCTTATAATACGTACTATTAAATCTAACAGCTCTACTTATTTGCAAACCTTAACGGTGTGTACATAAGCCTACCCTTCGAAAACTGCATTTAGTGTGTTAGATAGACTTAAACAAACGAAATCAATATGATGGATGGATTTTTTTCTGGTCACTAGTTTTTAGTGTCTAGCATTCAGCATCTTGGTCATAGAATAGTCTAGAGACAAAAAACAGCTGTCGATAAGATAGTTTAGCGTCCATTTTAGAAAGGTGAACATGCTCAGCTTATAAAAAGAGACACTAGACGTGACTGGTATCTTTTTGATTAGTAAATAGATATTTTTGCGTCACATAAGTATGGCACTAAAAGCTAGGAGCTAGAACTTTGTAGGTAAGAAAATGGATATTTAATGCCTATTTTTATGGACGCTTGTTTTTAGAGTTTAGCGTCTATGACGTTAGTCACATGCATAGATCGTGTGATGTAAAATAACTGTTAGCAAGTCGGATTATCGTTTAACTCTGGTAACGTAAAGTAAATGTACAAAATATTTTTTGTCACCTAAACATGTGACTAATACACAAAACACTAAATGTTCAAAAATAGCGTCCAGAAAAATGAACCTTTACATGGGAAAATAATGCTAGCGCTACCTTATTGATACCAATAAGTGTATAGAGTGATGGCAGTTAATCTACCAATAAATCGATAGAGTGATGGCAGTTTTCATGTAAGGTAGATAAGAACATTCCAACTATACAAGCAGCCTACTTGTACGTACCAGAAACAGACATAGTCTTCCGTAATATTTACTAAAATTCACTTTTACAAAATATCTTGTACCTTTTGACCAAATTACTTTGATATAAAATCGCTTAGAATAACTAGTGAGGATGGTAATTGAAATAAAAATACCATGTAAAACAATTTTTTCAACAAGTCTTTATTAAAGTCGTTTTTAGTTACTCACGGAGGAATTACTTAAATATATTCCACTCAGTCGATCGGAGCTTTCAGACTAACAGTTTTTACTGGGTTTTCTCCTCTCTGGCACCCTCCTGTTGACTGAATTTTGTTAGGACTGTGGTTAGGGTGCGATTACATGGATCCCAGAATGAGCACACGGAACCATTTGAACTTAAGAAAACAAAAAAGAGGTGCGTGGAAGAGACTCTCCTGTCTCTTTTTCTCGAATATAGAAACGATTAATTACTTAATAACAATTAAGTTTTTGATTTACAACAAGTACTTATGTCAGATTAACTAGACTCAATCACTTCGCCAATTTGAAGCGTAAATCAAGTGCATACGAGACAATATCATTAATCAAAATGGATTTGTCAGAAAGAAAGTCATGGGTGACTCATAAATTAAATCGGGATATCATAAACTGTTTACAAAAGCTCATAATAGAGGTGAACCAGCTGACTACAAGGTTTTCAAGGTCATTAGAGCTCAGATTTTAAACAAGCTTATTACCGTGAAGAGCATGAATATCGCCACTACTATCGGCAAGAGACACTACTTTTTAGACGTTATGGACGGGGTATAATGCAAACTGGGTGTAACAAGTTCTCCAAATACGTTTATTTCGGAGATATTGACCATTAAAGAACTGATTAAATACTTTATTAAAGCAAAACCAGCCCAAAGAATAATTAAATAAATTCAGCAGTACTCTATTACAACAGATGATGACGAAGGACAAACAGTATTAAAATTCTAGCATTGATCATTGATATTTAGGGCATCTGCAAGTAAAGCGTTGCGTATAATATTGAATCAACAATTCTAATAGCTATGCTGTCAGTTTATTTTCATTAATATAAAAATAAAATGTTTAAGCCTCATATGTACGGCCCTTTTCAGGTACAATATTTGAGCAGCGTCAAAAAATTAATAACTTGAACTAACAAAGCCTGAATTCAACGTTGACTGTACGACTAGAATTCTATTAAAAATATGTATATGTGGCGCCCGGACTCTCATCAGCTCCCTTGCGCGCCCAACGTTGGAAGCAGCAGCTGGTCCCGTGAGCTGACTTGTGCTCCGCCCAAAACTCTAGCCCTAGCCCTCAACATATACACATGCTACTGCAAACCTAACGTCATTTATAAATAATGGCTTCTCTACTGTTTACGCCTGAAGTGTCGCGTGTATTCATTCACCTGCGCCCCCTCGACTCCATACCTCAGCTTCTCCAAAGTGGTGACCCCTTCGCAAGAACATTCATCAAAAGACAGCAAAACAACCTCGAGGTAAATCCCAGTGCACGCTTGCAACAACTCCAAGAGTCAGCAAGACCAAAGACAGCAACTACGTCGAGTGTTAGTGCGCGGTAGCAAAAAAAAAAAAAAAAAAAAAAAAGAGAAGCCGTTGTGTTATGTGACAAGTGCTATTCAACCCATCTCAGAACACCTTTCTCGTCCTTCCCACACCCCAGGTCTTCCGTGCTTCGTCGTCCTCGCTCAAGAGCCGCATCTCTTTTGGTCTTCCATTTTCGACCTAGCACTAGAGCTGGCGCCATCGGCCGTATTAACGTCGACCTTTCATGACAAAAGGGCCCGGAACCCTGAGTTAAGACACTCCGCTCTCTTCACGTGCACTTTTGTGCCCGCTCCCGCCCCTTCCTGTTCTTGAAAATTGGCGCCCGGCAGATTTCACCCTCGCTTTCTCTCTCTCGCACAATAGCATCGGCACACACCTGGTGGTGCAGGCAACCAAGCTACTCGTCCATTTTGACAGGGAGCAATAGTACGGGAGACCATACCGACAGAGGAGCGACCACGCATCATATCTCGCACTTTCACCACCAGGTGGCAACATCATACGCAAAGCAGTCTCCAACAGACAGCAACGGCGCGCGCCGCAGCCCGCAACAACTCTCTCTCTCGCTCGCTCTCACGCCACGAACACACATTAGGCCACCTCATCCATTGGCTGTTGCTCACTGCCTCGTTCCACACCACAGTCCGCCAGCTCTGTCATTTCGGGAATCCAGGCGTCAAGGCTGGCCACTGACAGCGATGACTACATCTCCAGCGAGGAGCAAGCCCCTGAAAAAGAGCTCCTAAGCGCGCGATAAGAGCGCGCCCGCCGATAAGAACAAGCGAAGGAAGAGCGGCTTCTCCATCAACAGCTCCAGAAGATCAACCAGCAAGAACAAACGCTCGCCACCATAGTATAAATAATATAATAAAGGAACCGGCGGCATCCAGTCAACAACACCTCAACAACTCGCAAGCAAAACTCACTGCAACCTTCCCCGATTTTGGTCGTCTAACCCGTCCACCTGGTTCTTGCTCGTGGAATCTGCATTTGATGCGCATGGAGTCTCAGGCGACAGAGAAAAACACGACCTCGTCGTCTCCTCTCTCGACGCTGCGGCCATCACCGATCTGATGCACGTCTTGTCCAGCCCGCCGGACACGGACCTCTTTGGGAACCTCAAGAAAGCCATTCTCGACCGCATGGTCTTATCTCAAGACAAACAGCTTGACCTCCTCTTCAACAAGCTGGAGCTTGGCGACAAGACGCCCTCGCAGCTCTTACGGTACATGCGCACCACTGCCCGCAACCGAGTCAGCAACGAGTTGCTGAAGGTGAAGTGGCTTCACCTTATGCCCCCACACGTTGCTAGGATCCTGAAGGTCCTCAAAACATTAACTCTCAAGGAACTCAGCGCAGCAGCAGACGAGCGGGTCGAATCCCACCCCAGCGTCTTCTCTCTCACGCAGACAGCCATCCCAGAACTAACGGCCGCACCACCGACAGCCAACGCCACCCTAGCACAACAGGTCACAGCTCTCTCTCTCCAGGTCAGCCAACTGAGTACGGCAGTTCTCAACCGCAGCAATGACAGTGGCCGCCAGCCTCGGCAACGTCAACGCTCCAGGTCCCGGTCGAGATCCGAGGCCGACCAGGCGCAAGCCGCCAATGACGCAGGCTTTTGCTGGTATCACCTGAGGTTCGACGCTAAAGCCAGGAACTGTGAGTCACCCTGCACCTTTGTCGCGGCCTAGGGAAACTGAGCGGCCCACCTCTGAAGCAGACAGCAGAGGTGGTACAATTTGCTCCAGACTCCAAGCGCCTGCACGTCTTCGACAACCCGTCAAAGACACTCTTCCTCGTGGACTCGGGATCCAAAGTGTCCATCATCCCGAAGGCAGGCTTCAAACAGCCTAGAACGCGGCAGAAGCTGACGTTGCATGCAGCAAACCAATCATCCATTGCGACCTATGGCACACACTCCATGACGGTCAGCCTTGGCCTCCGCCGGGCTTTCAGTTGGCCCTTCATCGTAGCCGATGTCTCCACAGCAATAATAGGAGGGGACTTCTTTCAAAAGACCGGCCTGCTCGTCAACGTCAAGGGCAAGAGACTCCTTGACTCTCTCACTAGTCTTCCAGCACCGTGCCACCTGCGCAAGGCCAATCTCCACAGCGTCCAAGCCGTGCTCAACGCAGCAGCCCCTGGCCCTCACAGCAAAGATTACAAGGTCTCCTGAACAAGTTCAAGGACATAACAGCGTGCAAAAGCACCGCCGTTCTTCTGCCAGATCTGCTGGTGAGGCACTGCATCGTCACGACAGGCCTACCAGTCCACGAACGACCGAGGTGGCTCGTTGGACCCCGCCGTAAGGCAGCCAAACGAGAGCTCCGCGCACTCCTCGACCAAGGCGTAGTGAGGACCTCCGCCAGCCAATGGGCCAGTCCACTACGCGTCGTGGCGAAACCCAACGGAGGCAAGCGTATCACCGGTGACTACCACAAGCTAAACGCCATCACTTCGCCGGACCGCTATCCTCTACCAATCGTGGAAGACCTTCACTAGGAACCCTCCAGCCAGGTTTTCTCGGTGGTCGACCTCAGGAAGG